ACCCATCCAAGTGCACGTTGCCAGTTCGTCCCACCCTGGACTGTTTTCCTTCATTGGAGAAAGCCCAGGGATGGAGCAGGGAATGGGGCTAAATCCATCTGAGTGCAAAGAATCTCTGGGAAAGGATTTGCAGAGGCAGAGTCCTTTATCCCTGGGCTGCACATCTTTGGGGCCAGGATTCTATCTATGCTAAAAAGAAACATTTCAGTTTAAAACACCCTGAGCTCCTTTCCCTGCTGTGCTCCCTGACTCCAGCCCGGATAACCCTGGGATGTTTTAGAGATAATGAACTCTAGGAATTGAGAATGCATCAGATAACAAAGCCCCAACTCCTGGGTGTCTGCTGGGCTTGGGTGCTTCTCACTCACAAAGGCTCTTTGGTTGTCAAATAGAGCTGATGGAGGTTTAGATTCTTTACCTTGTCCTGTCTTGCCTCAGCTCTTCTGTGAATTTCACAGACATGGATGGGAATGTGACTGTCCTCATTTCAAAGATCTTTCTCTCAGCTGTACCCAACAAGAGCCCTGCAGGATCCACAGTCCCACAAAGGGCTGCTTCTCCCAAAATCATGGGCTGCATCTGACTCAGTTTTAGGGTCTGAACAACTCTGTGCATTTCATTTTTATGTCAACCACATGCTTTTGCTGGAAGGAAGATTTTCATAAACCAGGTAACCCCAATAACCCCAGATTTTCAGAGGGCAGTAGATACTTGAGTCACCCATGAACCAAGGAAGGAAGATAGGAAAATGAGACAGGAAGCGATTGAAGCAGATATTTCCAAAGTTTTATTGTATAAATCTACAAAAGGCTTTGCTACAATAGCAAATCGAGTGTAGCACTATTCTACTGACAGGCTCTAGTGGCTTGGTGTGATCTTGTAACTCCAACATGACACATGAGGAATAAACTGCCTGATCCAGTCAGATCCAGGGCAGGTGATGTCGGCTTACAAAGACCTTTTGGCTTCAACCCCTACAACCTGCAGCAACTCCACGTGTTCGCCTTTTGTACAAGGTTAATTTGAATTAATAATATCTCTAGTAAAAATAAAAACTCTAAAGTAGTTTCATCAGTAAATGCAAAATCGCCTAAGGAGGAAAAAAATGCAGTGGCTGAAATCTGCTAAAGTTCCAGAGGTACAACACATCCACGCTTCTCATTCATGTGACTCTGCCCCAGGAAAATAAACTACCAGTCCTTCCTGGAGAGGCTGGTAATAAAAACCAGGGTGCTACAAGTAAAGCTCCAATTTGCTGGGAGCAACAATTGAAATAAAATCAGTCCAGGAGATTCAGTTCTGCACATTCCAAAAGCCAGCTGAAAATGTAAAAAAACTCAGGACCAAATGACCAAGTAGCACAGACAGGCTAATTCCCTAAAAAAGCAGGAAAAATAAAATGCCCATTGAGGCAGTCTAGTCCCTTGGAAGAGACTGTGGAAATTAAGCACCTCAAAATCAAATATCATTTAGACCTTAAGATGATGCCTGGGAATCTGCCTTTACATGGTTTTATGGAATTTTCCAGTCCTGGACATTTTTGCTGAGCCTTGTTGGAATGTACCTTAGTTCTCTCTGGCTTAATTCAAATGCAACAAAACACCACAGAATTTAAGTAATGTGGATTTTTTTGCTCAATACACACACGTCCCGTCCCCCCCACCACTGACACACACACACACACACACACTCACACAGAGGACAGCTGGCTCTGGAAGAGGGAGGAACCAACTGGACCCCTTCGGCTGAGAGATGAACCAAAACTGTCTTGTCCAGCTCACTCGAGCTCTTTTTGGGCTCCCTGGGTCTGGATGGATACAGTCACTCCAAAGCCAGCACAAGAACCCCAGTTCTTGCAGTAACTCTGGCCCATGCAGACCCAGAGAGCTCCTGCTGTCTCACAAGGCTCCTTGCTGGCAAGACAGCTGGCCCAGATGTGCAGGCTCCAACAGTTCAGACAAGCATCTGGACCGTGGGATGCTTCTCCAAACTCCGGGAGCCCTTTGAGGTTTGGAACTGATACCCGCATGAAATGAAGCTACCCTGGACTCAGGAGAGGTGAGTTACAGCGTGGCCAGGGGGAGGGTTCGTAGCCAAGGCAGGATCAGCCTCTTGGCAAAGTTAATCAGGAAAGTTTTTTTCAGTGAGGATTTCTTTAGGTGAGTCCCAGCGGCCCCGGATCGCAGAGGTGCAGAATCCTCTCCACAGACAGTCAGCACAAGCCCAGCGCCCCTGCTGTCCCCAAAGCCTGGACTTGGTTCTTCTGTTCTGGCCTCTCTTTCCATTCTCAGCACTTTCCTCTGTGTTTGGAGTGCACAGCTCAGGCCTTTCTTTATCATGTTGGAAGCAGCTTCCCAGTTTCATTCTGGCTCTCAGCACCTTGAACGTGGCATTGCACTGCATGGGAGGCTCTTTGGTGCATGGTTTGCCCTCTGTCTTCCTGCAGCACTTTCTTCTCCCCTGGGAAAGCTCTTGGACACAGAGAAGGAATCTCAGCAACAGCAGCAGAGATTGCTGGAAAAGAAAGAAAAAAATGCACCAACTCTGATTAGATTTTTAAAGCGGGAAGAGAGGGGGAATTCTCAGGAGTTGGGATTAAATTTTGTTGTGCCTGCAGCCTGGAGGAACCACCAGGTGTTGGGGTCTAAGGATTTGCCCATGGTCCAGCCAAGGGAAAGCCACAATGTGCAGTCCCTGGAGCATCAATTGTTGGGGCTGGTGCTTGGATTCTGTCACCAAGAAGCTGAAATGTCACCTCTCTGGTGGTGCCAGGCTGCTGCAGCCACTGGCACTGAGGTATTTTGCACCTGGGCTGTTCAGTATCTCAGGTCAGGGCACTGGGGAGATTAGGAAGGCTCACAGGGTAATATGGGATGTAATTACCTGTGCCAGTCTTTCCTTCAGGTGGTGGATCTGGCAGCTGGTGGCTGAGGGTCCTGAGAGCAGGTCTGATGTTGAGGCCTTTGTTTTGCAGCTTTTTCTGTGGCTTTCCTCCCTTTTCCTTTCACTGCATGCTGCGAAGTGATTCCTTCTCAGAGGAGGATCTGAGTGAGTCACTGGAAGCAAGAGGAGACAAAGCTTGTAATACACGGCCAGCTCATCCTCAGCAGAGACTCCCACTCCCCCATCACTCAGCCCGGGTCATTAGTGAGAAATGCTCCTTTCTCTGCACACAGAGCTGTTGACAAACTGGGAACGAGTGAGAGGAGAGCTCCCACCATTCCTGAGCCCAGCTCCCAAAAGGATGCAGAGCAGACCTGCAGCTCCTCTGGGCTGTGCATGGACCTGGGATGTGCTGCCTCAGGTGGGGACTCGAGCCCAGAGGTTCTCCATGAAGGACAAGGCAAGTCCTGGGGCTGGGCTAATTAAGAAGCTTCCCATTCTTTTCCCGTATTAATCAGAAAGTGCAAGATACTGCCCTCTTGGGAAACTTTTCCCATTCCTATATTTCCCTTGGCCCGGCTTTTCCTCCCCTTTTCTCCCAACCCCAAGGCTTCACATCCCCTTTCAGCTGAGCTTTTATCCCCAGGCAAGTTTTCTCCTGGACATTCTGTGACCAGTTTAGCTCTGAGGAGAGAATGCCAGAGAGCTGCCTTACCTTCAGCCTCTTGGAAGGAGTCACAGCAAAGGCCTTCTGAGCCACCAGTGCCACATGTCACTGCTGTGGCAGTGCCAGGAGCATCCCAGGGTCACTCCTGCTGCTGCTGCATCCCTGCTGTTTATTTGGTCTGCTGGTAAATGCAGATGATGCCCAAGATGTGTCCAGCCTCAAGGAAGCTTTGGAGAGCCAAAGTTGAGGAATGTCTTTCTCCTCTGTCATCAAACACTGGCCAAAGGTGAGTGCTGAGCATTTTCTGTCTCAACGTGGAAAAAGTCACAAAGTCCAAGTCCATCTCCGTCTGCGGCGAGATGTTGCAGGAATTTCTCTGTGAGCAGACAGCATTCTGTCCTAGGTGCTCCAGGACAGGGGTGCCAGGCTTTCCAAGAGCATTTGGAGTCTGTCTGTGTGAGCAGAAACTCCCTGCAGAGATGCACAGGCTAAAACTGTGCTGGGGCACACAGATCCTCTCTTCATTTCTTTTGGCTTTTACATGGCAAAAGCTCCTGTTGTCTCCACACATCAGCATGGACTCGATTTGCTGCTCTGGGGATATTTTGCTCTGAATTTGGGGTGTGTTTGTTTGTTTCATTCAAAGAATAAGGATTTCTTTCCCTTCCCTTCCCCCAGTCTCTCTCAAAAGAGCTCTGGCGTCTCCTCTCTCTACCTTAAACACCCTCTCTTCCCTGAAAGGAAGGAGACTGCTACTTCAATAAATGAGCTCAGAATTTAATTAGAAAATCTGTTTCCTGCTGAATGCACAGGATAATGTGCAGAGAAAGGATGAAATTCGCCTCTGCACTGCAGTGGCCTTGAACTGAAGTGAGCAGAAACTAAGACAAGAAGTAAACCAGTAAGAGCCTCTTGAGAGGAAACACATTAAAGCAGGTATTAGGTGCAGTGAAATGAAAACCACAGAAAATAATCCAGATTCTTAAAACTTTCAGATCCTGAAATAATAGGATTTTTTTTTTTCTTGTTAAAGCAAAAAAGAATAATCCAAAAAAATTACTTTAATCCTTTGGAGCAAGAGCAGGAGATTGCCAAGTGAACAGAAACCCAGAGGTTAATCAAAAACAGGCAAGGGTCAAAAGAAAGCTGTCTCCTCAGGACAGGGCCACCCTCTCAGAGGAAGGAGGAGAGAAGGAAAAAGAGAGATCCAGATGGGTAGGAGCCCTCCACCAACTGCTGCACTCCTATGAAGTCCTTGAGAGCTGCCAGCGCCGAGCGGCTGCTCCACCAGTTGGGAATTGTCTCTAGTTTCTTGTCGGGGAATTCTCATCAAATTGGCTGTTCCCCACAGTGGTGCCAGCAGGGTCCCCAGCACCACTGCGTGGCACGGCCTGGGCGAGGGGGGCATCCCCATCCCGAGGTGCCTCTTCCCCACCACCTCCCTCCCCCCAGGAGCAAAGTCAACCCCTCTGCTCCGGGCTGTTGGACTGAGCACTCCTCAGGTCTCGTCTCAGCCAGAACTTCCCTCCAAGGAGAAGCTTCCTAAACAAGCCCCCTTCTCCCTTCCACGGAACCCAGACCCCCCTGAGGGCAGCTCATATGACAGTGGCTGGGGGGCTGGGGGGCTCAGGTTGAGTCCCATTGCTGGGCACGGGGCTGGCGGTGGTGGAGGGGGGCACGGTCTCCACGGAGTCTCCTGGCTGAGCCTCGGGGGTCCTCTGTGGGCTGGGCTCCTCAGAGTGCTCCATGTTGCCTTGGACTTCCTTGCCCCTCTGGATCAGCTGCTCTAAGGTCTTGGGCAGGGGGTAGCTCAGGAAACGCTTCAGTTTGGGCTGGAGGGTTCCTACCACGTACTGGATAATCTCCTCCTCATCTGCATCCACATAGAGGGTCTGGTACAGGTCTCTCTTGCGCCAAAGGAACTGATCCAGGGGCTCCCCCTCTTTCTGGGGCAAATCCAGCTCCCTTTTGATAGCATCCCTAGTCAGAGTTCCCTCGCTGTACTGCAGGAACTCTTTCTTGAACTCGACCCAGTTTTTGACGGAGTCCTGCTTGTACTCCCACCACTTTTTAGCTGGGCCGTTCATGTGGTTTTGGATCTGAGACAGCCAATACTCCTCTGTCCCACCCACCTGCTTCAAGTATTCCTCCAAGTGGCTCAAGAACTCCCGGGGATCCTCAAACACCTGGGTCTCCACCGGGGAGGCTGGAGCGTCCTCGGACACGGAGACCCACTGGTAGGAATCGTGGCCCTGGGGGATGCTAGGCACCTCCCCGGGAGGAGGGGTCAGGGCATACATCTGGCTCATGTCCAGGGCATAATCATAAATCTCCCCCTCACCTGGCCTTATCTCTGGGCCTCCCACCCCCACGGACACCGTCTGCTTGCCCTGCTCCCCAGGGCAGTATTTGCCTCCCATGGACTCCAGGCGGTCAGCCCACTTTTCCAGGCGGAAAAAGACCTCCTTCCAAACATTCATCTCCCTCTTGACCCACCTCTCTAGGTGGGCAATGGTCTCCTGGCATCTGACCAGGCAGGCCTTGATGGACTTCTTCCATCTCTGGTTTTCAGTCGGGACGTGGTCCTCTAAGTTGTTCTCCAACTTCCCCACGGATTTCTGCAATCCCTTCAGCTCCCGCTCCACCTGCTTGGAGACCTCTGTCAGGAGGTGCCGGTGGGTCCTCCGGACATGCTCCAGCATTTCTGCCCTGCACTTCCCTATCTGCAGGATCACATTGGGCTTGTTGGCTACTCCACGGTGGCCCTGGAAGGAGTGGACACCCGCGCTGGTCACGTTGTCCAGCTGCATGGCTCCGACCGTGCGAGTGGCAAACGCGCAAAGAACCGGGTTATAAACCCTGGCACTAAAGCTGGATCCCCAAGAAACCCCCACCACAACACTTCCTGAAAGACACACAGAGACTTCTAAACCCCCCTGCAAGGACTTTTGGACACAAACACAACCCAATCAGATATCACCGCAGAGCGAGCTGCTTCGGTCCACGTGGATCCCAGAGAGAGTTGTAGGCAAATTTCTCCCGGTGCCAAGCTGGGAACGCCGGTCTCACGTGCTCGGGGGTGTCCCAGAGAGAACCAGGATCCTCCAGGAACAAGGAGACGAGTTGGATAAGATGTCCAATCCCGCTGGGAATCTGGAACGCCGCAAAGTCCCCGCCGGAGAAAATCACACAGAAGATGCACAAAGAAGCTGGAAGCTGCAGCAAAAATCCGGGTGATTTCTCGTCGGGAGATCGGGAGAAAAAAAAACAACTTGGTGAGTCGAAAACCGCTTTCACTGGAGATGCTGAAGAGCTGCTTCTCCTCCCTGTCTGAACTGCCACTAGTCCAGGCTCCTCCATCTACTTATACTCCACGCAGCTCAACATGTGGGTGGTGCCCAGCCTCCTCTCGCACTCTCAGCGCAGCGTTCATTGGAGGAGCAGAGATGCCGGTGTCTGTGGCAACCCAGATTTTGGCAGCCTCCCCTCGCTCGCCACCCCCTCGCTCACGCCCCCAGACTCGACGCGAGAAGCGCTTGAAAGGTGCTGGAGACAGTTGGAGAGATGGATGAGTAATCGCACCTTCCGCCTCTCGGAGCACAGGGAAAAACACTTATTCCTTCCACAACTCTTTACTCAGCAAGGTCATCATTAGCATGCGGCCCCTGGCAGGGCTCGGGGGAGAATCTGGTGTGTCACACACCCAGACAGACGCCCACGGACCCCCGCACATCCCCCCTCACACACACACGGGGTGAGCTCGCTCCTCATGCAAATGCCTGGGAATGGTGGTAAACCAGCAGCGGGAAAAAAAAAAAAAATAAAAAAAATTGGAGAGAAGAGAAAGGAAAAGCAAAGGGAGGGGGAAGGGGGAAGCAGAGCGGGGAACGCTCAAAGGAGCCACTTCAGCACAAATCGGAGCGCTCTGGACTTTCTCAGGCTTTGGTAGGTGGGAGTCATCCCCGCGGTTTAATTGCACCAGACCAACCACTATCTTGGGAATCTTGGGTGAGGGAGGGGGACGACATCCTGGTTCTTACACCGAATTAAATCCGCCCATCAAAAGCCTGTTCTGTGCTTAGCTTTGAATCAGATGCTTAATCAGTGAGCCAACCCACCAGCGCAGATGAAGCTACATTTGTTCTTCGCTCTTGACAAGGCAGGAAAAGCCAACCATAAAAGGAGTCTCCGGGTCTTACATAAACCAGAGATAAAGGATTCCCTAATCCGAGAGAGTTTCCCCGCCGGAACACCCTCAGAAAGGTGCTGAGGACAGCGGGGCCTTCTGGTACCTTCCCAACACCAATGGCCAGAGGCAGTGGGATGCTGATTCATCAGGATAATCTGAAAAAAGGGATTGAGCCCATTGGCAGCGGGGTGGTGGTGGTGGGGGAGTGCCCTGCCTGTGCTCAGGATGGTGGGCAGTGTGCCAGGGAGGCTTGGGATGGGTCCTCACTCCCAAAGCTCCTGGCTGGGTGTTTCCTGGTGGGAATTCAGCCATCCCAGAGGAGCACAAAGAGGGTCTTTCAGTGAAGTCCTGGGTGAGCCCAGGCATTTGGTTAAAGGAGAATCAAAAACTAGTGGTGGTTTAAATTGAAGGGCATGAGGGGCAGGGGTCATTTTTTTTCCTTTTTCCCCCCTCAAATCTATGTGCTGCAGGAGGGCCTGTGTCTGTTCCCTAGCAGGTAATGGTTCTCAGGGTACAAAATATTATTTAAAACAGCAGCAGCTGACCTAGAAGGGCTGCATGGCTTGGTTGAAGGGAGGGAGGGACAGTGAGTGGGGAAGGGAAAAAACCCTGAGGGTGTAACACAGGATTCCTAATCCAGCAGCCCCTCCCAATGCCACTTCTTCCCACATGACTGCCCTCTGCCTTGCTAACTTCTCCAATTTCACCCAGTTTTCCTAAGCACAAGATTTTGGGACAGCTGTGTTTGCGTTCAGAAAAAGTCAAACATCAATCACCTGAGGGGTTGGGACAGATCTGGACTCTTGTGCTGCAGTCTCAGCACCCCGGAGTCTGTCTCAAACCTGCTCTGCCAGGAAGAGATAACATGGATTGGGAGAGACTCTGCAACCTTGGTGTCTCTGGGTTGGTGCAAAGATATTCCCTGGAGAGCTTTTCACCCAGAAACCCCAGAAATGACCCATAGGATGGGGACAATATAAAATGCCATTAACTCTGCAAGATGAGCTGCATTCAGCCTCTCCTTGTCTCATCAAATGCCAGAGCCTGGGATGAAATGGCTCCTAAATCTGCTCCAATAAATGAGTCCCTTTCCAGGCCCTGCTGCCTCTCTTTGCTCCTCCCTTACTTTTCAGCTGCGGAGGAATCCTGGATCTGAACGGCCTCATTTGACACTTGGCTCTTGTTACAGGATCTCAGGATTATTAAGGATGAAAGGGACTCGGGAGGTTTCTAGCTCAGCCTCCTACTCCAAGCTGAGTCAGCTGCTGGGTCAGCTCAGATGGTTTCAGACACTGAAAACCCCGGGGATGGAGATTTTTCGGAGGGAAAACCTTTTTCCTTGTGCCCAAACTGCGTGTCCTCTTGGAATTTGATGCCTCTTGTCCTCTCACCAGCCACCAGAAGACCCTGGTTCTATCTCCTTGATAACCTCCCCACAGGTACAGGACATTGCTCTTAGGTCCCCCGGAGCCATCACTTCTCCAATGCCTAATCCCACACCTGGCCCCAGCTCATCCCAATGGCCTGAACTCATTCCCTGTGATCAGAGTCTTGTATTAAGAAGCCCAAACCCGACTGCAGCAGCTAAATATGATCTAAAATGCTCTGACTGGGAGGCGGGGGGGGAAGAATAATCACTTCCATGATCTCCTGGCTGTATTTATGCTCCCACAATCCAGGATAATTTTTTTTGCTGCCAGGACATGCTGCAGTATCATCCTCAGCCTGCTGAGCACTCCCAGCTCCAGTTCTCCCAGTCCGTTGCTGCCAGAGACTCTTTTTTCCCCAAGAAATTCCAGAATTAGCCCTTGCTGAACATCACCGAAATTCTCTTGGCTCTTCCCTCCAGCTTTTCCAGGTCTCTGGGTTAATCTCATTCAGCCTCCTTTCACAGAGCTCTCCCCCTAATCACTCTCCTTCTAATGCTGTGGAGGTGGTGGGGGAAGTGGGAGAATCGAGGACAAATGGGGGTTTTCCTTCTGGACCTGCTGGGGAACGAGTTGCTGATTAAGACATGTGTGATAAGCATTTTCTTTGTATTTCTAATTAAAGCGAGGTGCGTGGGAAGAGGAGGAGGAGAGGGGGGAGCCGGAAGCCAAGGGGGGAGGGAGATGTGGAGCGAGGTGATGGAGAGAGGCAATTTGAGGCAGACAGGCAGATTCCGGGCACAGAGAGGCAGACAGGCACAGAAGGACAGGATCCATGGATTGGGACAGGATGGGGAGGAGGGAGAATTCCTCTGAGTGGCCACAGGATGTCCAAGATAAGAGAGAGGCAAGAAGAGCAGAAAGGAAAGTGGGAAGTGAGGATGAGGGTGAGCAGTTTGCTCCAAAAGAGCTCAGCTGAAGTAAGGGAAGGAGAGAAAATAGCAAAAAGCCACATGTCATAGCTCAGCAGGGATGGTGTCAACGTGGGTTTTCTCCCTAGAGCTTCCTGGAGAGGTTTAAAGAACCTTAGGTTAGGATCAGATCCAAAAAAAAAAAAAAAAGTGAAGAGAGAGAAAGGGAAAAGGCAACAGACCAGTTAAAGGCAGCAAAAGGAGTGTGTGGCAGTGAGCAGCAGCTGAGTGTTCCCCTGAGGGGACAAGATAAAGGGACACTGAGTCACTGGCACCTTCCCTGGTGCTGTCACTGTGTGCTGGGGACACGATGCACCCAGAGCCTGGTGGCACTCACCCCTTCGCACTCACAGTTCAGGCTGTGGGCTCTCACTGAGCAAATGTCTTTGATTTGGGGTTTTTTGGGAGGTTGACAGGCCTTTGCCACCTCATCTGGGTGAGTGTTCTGCTCAGAGGCACCTTATGGCAAGAGATGTCACTGCTTGGAGAGCAGCCTGAGCTGTGAGCCAGATGAACCTGGTGGGTGAGTGAGAAGGGGGAGATCCCGGGGGAAACTTGGGGAACTTTCTGGTGCAGCTGATTTTGTGCTGCACATGTTCTGAAGAGCTCTGGTGGATGCTGAAGTGCCCTCCTGTGCTGCCAGGGTCCCTCCCCAGTTGTGCACTGAGATGTGCATTGTGTTCCTCCTCGGAATCGCTGTCTGGAGGAGCCTGTCTTTCACCCAGGACTCTTTGAAGCACCTAAAATTAGAAGCCTGAAGCCATGTGGGTAATTCATCCCATATTCTTGCAGGAACTAATATCTTCTAGTGGTGAACGAGGGATTTTGTGCCTTATCCTATATTCCCTGTGCTAGAATTTTCCCTTTCCCTTCCATAATTGCTTCCTCTTTCTAGAAGAAAAAAAGAAGAAAATAAGAAACCACATTTTCCCCCCATCTGCCTCCACATCCTTTTAATCCCTATTGAGTCTCCTGCAGCTCGCCAGACAAAGCTGCTCAGTCATTTGTTTGGTAGCAAAACCCTCGGAAGGAAATAAAATTAGGAAGAAACCAAGGTGTTGGGCTTTTAAACTTGCAAGGAGTGAAAGGGGGAAAAGAATAGCACATTTAATTTGCACCATACGTCTCTATTCATCCATCTCCAGCCCTGGAACACTTTATTGCACTGGAGCTGGCACTCACAACACAGAGTTTTGCATTCAAAACGCAGCTCACACGTCAGTGGGTCTTTTCTTTGTGGCCACCCATTGTCCCCCAGGCCCTGGGCCCACACAAGGGTGTGGAAGCAATTGGGAATCTGAGGGCATCCTGCTATCAATATTACCCCCTAATGATGATTGTTATTAGTGCCACTCCTCGTGGTGCAGAATTCTCTCCGTATCCCTTTTCATCTGGA